TTTTTGTTTTTTGTTTTGGTCAAGACCAGTCTGACGGCCTCCGACTATGAATTATGGGATGGCACTGATCACAGCGTTTATCATGGCCGCCACAGAGACACTTCCAGATCACTTAAACGGTATAATCTGATAAACACTGTTTTAAACACACGGACACAACAGAAACGCCTTTAAGCAGTTTCCTTGAAACTCTCAGCTCGCGGGCTGCCATCTTTGATTGAACACGAGTAAAAGTGACAATCACCTAATACTTCAGTTCTTACTTACATCTGATGATCTAGGCACCGAAAGTGCGAGTTAACAAAAAGTGTATGTTACAGAAGACGTTTAAAAGAAGGGCCAAAGGTCACTGAGACGCAACGGCTCTCCAATGGCTGACGAATCAGCTGACGTCGCTCGCGCCCACATCTGTCACGAGACCCGACACTTCAAATAGACACTTGTTACTGCAGTACGGCCGAACTTTAAATGCGTTTCTTGTCACTTTTTAACCATTAAAGCTGTAAAATACACCATGCTGATAGTCGTCAGTACATGTAGCTAGCTACCCAGTATTTCCTGTCACACTTTGGCTACTTCTGTCTGGAATGTGGAATTCAGGCCTAGCAGCTGCTCACCTATCTGGCCGATAAACTCGATTTTGATGCCATTATGCTCCAGCCTCTTTCCCGGGTATTTGAGTGTAACGTTGACTTTTCCGGAAACAGTTTCCCCGTCGTAGAAAAGGAAATATTTGTCTTTCCTGCCGTCTTCGCTTCTGTGCTCAGCTTTCTTTCTCGTTTCGGCGTCATTCAGAACTATATCTATGTCCGCACTCTGACCAAAACCAAAAAAGCTCATCGCTGCTCGTTAGTCAAGCGAAGCCCTGTGGCCGGATCCCGCTGGAAATGCGCTGTCTTCCTAATGAAAGAACACACTGTAGTTTGTTCTCGGTTTGCCGCGAGGAGTTCAGCGCGAGCTGCTTCCCAGATTATTGCATATTTTGAGTTACAACCGCCTGACTGCGCATGCGTCTACAGTCACGTGAGGGAAATTGTATTCTTTGTAGTTTGTTTCGTTTCTCTGTTCATGAATTTTTTTGACAAATTGTACTCTCGGTGCTAAAATGAAAAATTATAACGAGCAATATTTCGCTGAATGACAACTTTTCAAACAATGGTAACCCTCCCCTTCACCCCACCTCTGCACCTTTCAGGCGCAGTATCAACAGGCGGAAGAAGCCTGGTCTCGTGAGTTGCTACCGCCCCGAGTAAAGTCTTACAGGTGTTGGAATTTCCAATTTAGACACAATTTAATGGCCTTCAAATTATTGATTGACCAAGATGTTCTTTTGGAGGCTGAGGCTGTCCCAGCGACCGTAGGGCAAGAGGCAGGGTACACTCTGGACATGTCACCAATCTGCTGGCTAACATCGCCACACCTATGTGTCATTCAGATTAACCGATTAAACTAACCACATGTCTTCGGACTGTGGGAGAAACTCACGAAGACACGAGGAGAACAAACAAACAACTCACAGAAACGCCATGGCTGGATGATGGGGTACTTGATGATGATTCTGAGGTACTTCGTGCTGTGAGGCTGTGTGTGCTGCCCGCTTCTTAATATACTTGGTATTATTGTGAGTATAATTTTTTTTATATATATATATATATATATATATATATGGATATAGTACATTTGTACCATTCATTTACATTTTTTAACAATATTTGTTTACATTTTTAGTAAGTGTGAGAAAGTGAGAAAAGAGTTTGATCAGAAGTTTACTTTGTTTTCCAAAAAAAAAAATCTTTTTCTAATTGTACTGTCATGAACTTTAACATTAAACATTCTAAATATGAGATGCATCTTTTAAATGTGTTTTTAATATGTTAGTCTTAAAGTTTCTCGCTGCTTTTTTAATTATTTCCCACACCTGTTTGTGTTCCTGCAAGCCTCCCCTTTCTCTGCTTTTAAGATCTGGTTTCATATGGAATCATTTGAGTCCATCACTTTTTGTGTTAGTGATGCAATCTGTGAAAGGGATCATGACTCAAACAGTCAAGTATTGGTAGAGAGTGTTTGGTTCAGTTCTGATGGTCTGTGTTTATGACTCCATGCCTCAACTACAATGCAGTAGCTGTGTTAGCTATAAAAGGGATAGTTTGGAGGGGTATTACTGGTATACTGGGTATACTGGTACTCATATAACACCTTTCTACTCAGTTTAGCACTGAGAGAAATTTGTACTGCAAGTCTCATTCACCCATTAACACACTCTCATACAGAGTTTATCTATGCCAAGCACTCTGTTGGGAGAAATTGGGAGACAAAATTGCATTGTGAGCAACTCGGGAGTACACAAAGGAAGAGTCAGGGATCTAACCACCAAAGCAGACGAAGGAGAATCTAATGTAACTGCACCACGATTCAGTAGGTCAATATTTTTTTGCTTGGATTTGTTTGCTAAATTTTATTTCCAGTGTGAGAAAATGTGTCTCGCCTAATTCTTACAAATAAAAGAATGGTTTGTACTTTTATCCAAAGAGCAAGATTAATTTAACAATGAATTACATCACTTCTCAATTTTGGTAGATTCACTGTTGCCAAGGTATCTGTCTCATATCACAATAGGAAGAGGTTGGACTGGTACAGCCTGAATGAAACAGTATTGGGGCTTAGAAAAAACTTACTGGATAGAAACTACGCTTAGAAATGTACTAAATCGACTTGTGTAAGTATAATGATGATGCATTTCCATTAGTTTTTAATCCCCTCTGCTTTTGACTCATATTGACTGCATGTTGTACCAGCTTTAAGCACTAGAGGGCAGGAGTGCACAATTTGTAACATCCTTATGCAAACTAAGCTCATTGTGGTGTCTGGAATGACTGCAGTAACAATAAATCCACAAACACAAATCTTTTTGCAGTCTGTTTAAATGTTGTCGTTCACTCGTCTCTCCAATGAGTGGGGGGGAAAGGGAAAACCGGCTCCGGGATTTCCCTGGACCCGGTTCTCTAATGGCACCGCTAGAGGGCAAGGTTTAACCACAGCAGGACAGATAAACCTGAGAGCCCTCCTAAATTCTCAGGTTTTTGCAATTGAGCTCCTGATGTTTTGTGGCATTATTTAGTATTTAAAAAAATATTCATGTGAAAAATAAATCCTCATTGCAGGCATTTCATGTCTTTTTCACTCTCAGATTTGAACTCTTGATGGGAAATCCTCTAAAACCTAAAACATCAGTCACAGCAGTGTTTCAGATATGAAGTGAGTGGGAACAGTTATTAAATTGTGTGTGTGTGAGTGTGTGTGTTGCTTTATCTCATTATGAGGCTAACTGCCTAATTAGTTCTGGTGGCTTACAAAGACAGATTAAAATGATCCTCTTTTTGTGAATAGCTTTAGACTCCAACATGAAAATAGTCAAACAGCCCCCTTAAGGCTGAGAGATAGAAATGTTCTTTTAAAACAATGACTCATTTTTGACAACATTTTTCTTCTAAAATTGTCCTGCAACAGCATCACATGAATCGTGCGACTCCTTTTTGGACAAATGACTAAAAACTTTTAACAAGCTGAGGCCTCCTAGCTGTCATGGTGCGACTCAAACCAATTATTTCTGT